GCGCGGCTCCTGGCTGGGGTGCCCCTCTGCTGAGCGGCCGGGTGGAAAGGACTGCGCGCTCCCTCGCTGGTTCTCCGAGCTGGGTTGGGCCAGGGCGGGCGCTCGGAACGCACTCTTCCCTCTCTTACGGGTTCAGGTCCTCAAGACCGTTGCACACGGGGGCGGGCAGGTGGAGCGGCCCCGGGGCTCGGGCTTGGTTTTGGGATTCCAGGGCCCTCACTGGTCTGGTGGAGGGGCTGAGCCGCGAGAAAGTAGCTCGGAGCCGAGAAAGTAGCTCAGAGGGGTTTTTTTTGGGGGCGCTGAGGCCCCGCCCGCAGCGACCACCACCCAGCTGGCTTCTCTCTTACCTGCCGGGGAGCCCGCTAGGAAAAGGACGCCCTTTGGGAACTTGCTGCCTGCGTTTGCATTTCTGCATGAGATCTCCCTAGAGGCCCAAGGAGGTGGCTGGACGAGGGGGGCTTCCCCTTCCTAGTTCTGCTTGGGACAGGGACTCAGATGTGGAGAACACGCTGGGACACCTGGGGCAAGGACTGCCTTCCCTACAGCCCGGCCTGGGGCTTCTTGGGGCCTCATGGCGACCAGGCTGCCTGGGAGGGCCCAGAGGCCTGCCTGGGCGCTCCTGGGCTGGCACCCCTTCCTCTTCTGCTCCTCGGAGCTCCTGTCTCTGTGGGGTGCTGTGCCTTCTGTCTCTGAGCTTGACACAGGGTGAAAGGCAGTCCCCGAGAGCTGAGCTCTGGACTCAGCCGCCGATGGAGCCTGGAGCCCTGCGCATTTTCTTTTTCTCTGTCCCTGGGCTCAGGCCTTGGTGAGGGTCCTAGTGGGTTCTGTGGGGCCAGGGCAGCCAGGCAGGCTCAGGCTGCTCTGTGGTCCTGGCTGCTGGGGTCTGTGGGGCTTGCCGGGGTGTGGGACCCCGGGGCGGCCGACTTCTCTCTGAGTGCCATCTGTGGGGGTCAGCCTCCAACTCGCCCCAGATGCCCCAGGGCTTGGCTCGGGCTTGGGGCCAGGCCGCAGTGGGACCCTGCGCGACATTCCACACACCTGGTGGGTGAGGGGACCGTCTAGGAAGGAGCAGAGCAGTGGCTGCTGAGGGGAGCCTCTGGCCAGTGGAGAGACCTTCCCTGCACCCGAGCCTGAGCCCTGCCCTTCTGGGGTCCTCATGCGAACCCATGAGTGCGTCAGGCTGTGTTTCCCCGTCTGCATCCTGGAGGAAGCTGACAGTGCTCTCTCCCCACAGAGGCTGGGCTGGTGTCAGAGCACTTCTCGCAAGCCCCCCAGAAGCTGACACCCTACAGCTGGTATGGCAGCGCCAGGCTCTTCCACTTCCGGGTGCCTCCAGAGACTGTGCTGCTGCGGTGGGTGCTGCAAGTGTCCCGGGGCGGTGGCCCTGCCTGCACGAACTTGGAGGTCACTGTGTAGGTGCCTGCCCATCTACTGCCCTGCCCCGCCCATGCGCTGCCCAGGGCACGCCCCTGACCCTGCCCTGCTCTTTGCCCCCAGGCATTTCCGCTATGGTGCCCCTCCCGTCATCAACCCCCTGGGGACCAGCTTCCCGGACAACACCTCGGTGCCGCCCTCCTTCCAGGTCAAGGTGCTGCTGAGCAACACCTCGGTCAATATCTCCCACCCGGCACCAGGGGACTGGTTCTTGGCAGCCCACCTGCCCCCCTCGTCCCAGAAGATCATGGTGAAGGTGCGGGAGCACCCAGCTGCTGTGGGAGGCCCCTGTGCATGGGCTGGTCCCCGCTAGCCACCTCTGTCTCCAGTGTTGCTCTGGGGTTTGCCATCCTACTCTGAGTCCAGCCCAGATGCCCACCCCTGCTCCCCACCCCCA